TAGTGCAAGAGAGTTCAAGATTATCAGCATTTATAAAAGTTCATGTTTGGTAAAAAAAATATCGAAATTAATTTATATCTTCTAAACGGTAATAGATAGGTATAGGGAAATAGTATATGAATTTGTTGACAAAGTGATAATGAATCATAATATGATATTATATACGGGGTGTTCCATTTGAAAAATCAAAGAAGCCGCTACTTTATAGTAGAAGCGACAACGCCGCTTCGTCTAAAATTCAGGCGTGTAGGTCATATTAACTTATGCATACTGTGGAATTTTCAGGTTGATCCGTTGAATAGTTTGCCAGAAACGGCTAATTAACTCTCATCATGAAAAGCCCTGTATACCGATGCCTCAAAAACAAAAACAATGGTATTGGTGCAGCGGTGGTAACTCCCAACGATGATTTCAAATATAAACTGCCCTCTGACACTACCGTCTTTTCCGCAGAACTGTATGCATTATACAAGGCAATCCAGTACATTAATCACTCCAATTCTTCGTTAGGCCTTATCCTCACAGACTCCTTTAGTTCAGTAGAAATATCACAGCAAATTTATCCTGTCAATCCTATTGCCAAAATGATGAAATCAAAACTGTTGGAAGCAAAAAAGAACTCCCGGAAGATCAGCATTATGTGGATCCCTTCTCACAACGGGATAGACGGAAATGAAAAAGCAGACCAATGTGCGGGAAACGCGATAGTAAGTGCTGAATCAGAAGTAGTATCTCGCAGTGTACCGAGTGATTTCAAAGTCTTTTTCAAAAATGAATTGTCATGTTTGTGGAATCAAGAGTGGTTAAATTCGCGATCAAAATTGCGTAACATCAGAAACAATACCTTGGGTTGGCAACCAACTTGTAAGAGCAGAAAAGCACGAGTGACTCTCACACGCCTCCGTCTTGGTCACACAAGATTTACACACGGCTACCTTCTGACGAATAGTGATCCACCTAGATGCGACTTTTGTGATACAGTTCAGAGTTTAAACCACATTTTAATTGTATGACCTAAATACAATGTTCAATGATCTTATCATCAGTTCCCGAATGACATTAGAGTTCTCCTCGGAACAGGATTCGCCTCAAGAAATCTGATTGGTTATCTTAAAGACATAGACTTATTGAACGAAATTCATATATGTGTACACATTTACTGTTTTAGTATTTATTATTTGATAGTTTTGTACTGATCCGTCGCAAATCATCTTTCTGGTGGATGCGACTATATTCTCAATAGAAAAAAAACTAGATTCTCTCAAACTCACGATAGTAAGTAGCCTCATCCAATCTATGAAATTGTAACTGTGTTGGTAATTTGTTTACAATTTTTCAGTAAGTCCTGAAGAAGGAAATGAACATTTCCGAAAGCTTGACGTAATACCAAAGAGTTTTTCTTACTCCATTTGCGCCATTGCGCCAACATCTGTGCCCACTTTGGAGATAATTACTGCAGTGGAATCCACCAGTTCCCTTATTGACCAGACCAAGGCAGAAGAGTTCAGATGGAAAATTAGAGAACAGCTGGATCGAGAACCAGTTCCAACATCTAACATCAGCAATGAAGAACGTAGAACTCTGAACGGCCTACGTAGAGACAACACCATCAAGATCCTACCTGCAGATAAAGGAAACGCTACTGTGGTAATGGATACCGTTCTCTACGAACAGAAGATCGAAGAGGTTCTGCAGAAGGGACGATACACAAAGATCGTACGGGACCC